AAAGGACAAAACACATTGACCCTTCCCCCCCTCTAATATCATTAACTCTCAGACATTCACCTTCCTTCCCCTTCCCCCCCCGCATCCCCCTCCTGTTCTGAAATGTGATTTGTCCTTTTCATGTGTTCATTTTTTTTTAATTGTATCCTTTGGTATATATGGTTGTGACTATTTTCTTCCACTATTTGATCTGAGGAAGTGGGTCTGGCCCACGAAAGCTCATCACCTAATAAACCATCTTGTTAGTCTTTAAAGTGCTACATTGTCCTGCATTTTGCTTCAGCTACCCCAGACTAACATGGCTACATTTCTATCACTATGTCACTACCTAGTTATTGGAGCAGGATCCTAGAGGGGAAGCCCCACCCACACAGGATCTTTCATGGCCACAAGGAGTTAGGAACTCTGCCCAGGCACCATGCTCTGCAGGGATGCTCCCCCCTTCCAGGCAGCAGGGACTCAGAAGAAAGAGTGCCATCTAGTGACCCAAGGCCATAAAGTTACTGAACATTGAGAACACTACACAGAGACATCACAGCATCATCTCCACGGGGGGCAAGGGAGGCAGAGACACGGCGGGAAACTGCTTCGGTCCCCACTCGCGTCCATTCCCACTGCAGGCACTTCTGCTTTTGAAGTCCCCCTGCAGGACTCTTGTACATTTCAGAAGCAGAAGTGCCGCCGGGAGCCCAGGGTGAGCAGGGACTGAAGCAGTCCCCACTCACCCCATGCTCTCTGTGGCAGCCCCTCCCCACTGCTGCCTCCATGAGCAGTCCCGGCTCATGTTGATCACTGCGCCTCTGCAGCACAGGTGGCTCTGGAGCCAGCCTGAGCCAGGACTGAGCAGTCCTGGCTCAAGTCGACTCCTCTGGCGCTACCCCCGCTGCACCTCTGCAGAGGCACTCATCGACTAATCGTCTCGTCGATTCAAATTGTACTGACGATACCATTAGCCAGATAATGGCATTTGAACATCCTCAGTCACAATACCTTTAACTGGGAGCACACCGCAACTCGGCAGTAATGGACGAAATCCAAAACATCCACCGGCCTCACACCCAGGCTGAGCAGAACACTGAGCTCGTCCACCAGCAACACAGGGCATTTCCAGGAATCGCTAGCAGAGGGCATCAGGGATGTCCGGACAAACTCATACATGGTTTTCAAGTTGGAGCCATCTTTGCTGGAAGGAGGAAAAGGAAGTTTTCATTTGACCTGGTCTCAACCTGGTTTTTGTCCTGCATTAGCTACAGAACAGAATTGCAGCAATGTAGGGCTGGAAAGGACCTCTAGAACCATGCAGGACCAGGCCCCTGCAGAACCACAAACTCATACCAGTGATGGGCACCCAGGCTACTCAGCGGTCCGAAGACTGTCATAACCAAGAGGGTCTCCCGGGATAGGGCAGTTTTGCTGACTGCACTGGCATCCCTAGAATTTGCAGGGGGTGCCGATGGAACCTTTGCTAGACCGGATGCAGAGGGAGCGCCTGGCTCTCACAGCCAATGCTGTGTGCAATCAACACACACTTCACGTGCCCTTGCTTTGCATGCACGTCACTTCAGTAACACTGGTAGGAAACAAACTCCATGGATGGAAGCCAGCAGAATAACATGGGCCACACATACCACCCCAATGGGCCGCATGCATCCGCAGGCTAGAGGGCCCACCACTGACCTAGACCATCCCGCACAGGTGTTCATCCAACCTTTTCTTACAGCTTCTCAGTTTAGAAGCAGGTACAGGGCATGTCTGCCCTGGAGCTAGAAGTGGAATTTCCAGCTCAGGAAAACATGCCCACATTAAAAATAGTCTATGGGGTGGCTAGCCCATCCTGCTGCCCGTGCAGTCTCTGCTCTGCTCCTTTCAGCAGACCTCAAACACAGCTCGTACAGGTCTGTCTACCTGGGCTGGAAGCTAGACCAGCTCCACTGTAGATATGCCTATAGTGAGAGCAGTACAACTTCCCTAGTGTGGAGGTGGCAATACCGGCATAAATGTGCTTTGCACTGACATGTGCACCTGGATACGGCAGTAACTCTTCCCACGCTCGTGGGGGGTTCCTCTGCCTTCATGCAGTCTGCTTCTGAATGGACGGAATGGGTCAAATGCAGCGTGTTTACAGGAACCAGCCACTGGAGTTCTACACCAGGAAGCAGAAACAACAGATCCCTATGGCAAGGCTCTGAAAGTTCCCCCTCGAATTAGCTCCTTTGTTTCACGTCACTCAGCACTTTCACAGCTCTAGAGATGGAAGGAAGCAGGACGAGAGCAGAGGGTGCCCTTCTGAATGGACGGAATGGGTCAAATGCAGCGTGTTTACAGGAACCAGCCACTGGAGTTCTACACCAGGAAGCAGAAACAACAGATCCCTATGGCAAGGCTCTGAAAGTTCCCCCTCGAATTAGCTCCTTTGTTTCACGTCACTCAGCACTTTCACAGCTCTAGAGATGGAAGGAAGCAGGACGAGAGCAGAGGGTGCCCTCCTCTGGCTCTCCGTGGAGCGGGGGGGGCGGGGGGGGCCG